GCCGCTGCGGGTGAAGCGGCTGCAGAATATCCTCCCGCGCCGGGCAGGCGGGTGGGCGCCCACCGGGGTTTGCGGGAGGCACCGGGGCAAGGCGGCGGCATCAAAGCATGTGGGGCGCAAGGGTCTGGGGTTAACCGTCCTGCCGGTTAGGCCCTTGACTGCTAGCACAGCTGAGCTGCCGGACCGGAAAGGGCGAGCTGGGGGAGCCGCCCCCAACGCGGCCCACGGTAGGCGCGGCCGGGCAGGTGGCTACACGGGCCTCCCCGGAGAGGCGCCGTACACTGTGCCTCCGCTGCCCGGAACCCTCTCGCTGGTCACTGGTGGGCGTGGGCGCGGACGCAGAGGCGGGGAGGAGGGGGGTCTTGGAGAGCCAGTGCGCTGCGTCCGGGAGTTGGGGTGGGACAGACAGCGCTCATGTTCTCTCCGCAGCGTGCTTTTTCTCACAGGTGGGCACCGACCTCACGGACATCGGGGGCCCGAGAAAGATAACCATCCGGGAGCTGGGAGGGTGCATGGGCCCCATCTGGTCCAGTTACTACGGGAACTGCCGCGCTCTCCTGGTGGGTTCTAACCCCTGGTTGGGAATGTGTCTATTGCCCCTGATTCTGTCCGACTCCCTGGCCAAGCGTGGGCCATGCATCCCTGCGGCCTAGCTTTGAGTAGGGTGGGGATTGGGCTCCCAGAGGCCTCCAGGGTTCCAGTTGCTTTTTGCTGGCACCTGCTGGGCTTCCTGCTGTCTGCTGCATAGAGCAGTGCTCCTCTGCACACAGCTGACCTACTCTTGGCCTTGTCCCCGGGAACCTTTATGTGATCGAGTTCTCTGTTCCTCTGGTTGGTTCGGTCTTGACAAGGCCTGTGCCCCACACCCAAGATGGAGAACTGAGGGCCATAGGGGTGGTGGACTTCCACGAAGGTGGAGTAAGGAGTCATTATCCTCGCATGATTCACGTTTGTCTACTTATACTGTGTTCCTGAAGGCTTCTTTTTATTTTTCTGTAGAGAGGTTTTTGCTATAGGGTGTGTACACTCACTGGAGAGACAGAAAATGAGAAACCGCTCAGGAGGATGGCCACGCAGCAATCCCTTCTCCATTCTATTCTCAGGATTCTGAGCACACGTGCACACAGGCCCAGCATGAGTTTCAAACTGCCAGGTCTGGGACTAGAACTGTGGTGAACCATGTGAGAGTCCAGAACCTTAACCACTATGCCACCTGCTGGCCCCAAAGCCCTCTTTCCCAGAAGGAGCTGAAATGCGCACATGAGGGGGTTGGCCAAGGACTCTGGTCCACAGCAGAGGACTGACGCCTCCTCTCCCTCCCCAGTTCGTGATGGACGCCTCTAACCCCACCCAGCTCTCTGCATCCTGCGTGCAACTCTTGGGCCTCCTTTCTGCAGAACAACTCACAGGAGCCTCCGTCCTCATTCTCTTCAACAAAATGTAGGGCTGAGCTGGAAGGGAGCCGGGCAGGGAACCAGTTTGGGAGACGGCTGT